TTTTACTCGAGAGCGGATCAGACGTTCACCAAACGCCCTAGTTCCGTGGTGAAAGTCACTAATGCTCAGAAGAAGGTCAGCGGCAATCTTACCGGGGGATCAGGTAATGGACGAGACTCTCAATCCACTAATAGAGGTCAGAAGGTACACAAAGGGGGTGACAAGGGTGGCAATAAGAACAATAATATAAATGGTTCTGAAGACAACAAGATCGATGTCATCCCTAAGGGTAATCAGACCAACAGAAATGGACCGCCGGTAGGCAACCCCAAGCCCAGGCATAGGGAGGTCAAGAACTGTAGTGAGATTGATTGCAATTGGCGAATGACCCAACATGAGCCGAATGGCAGATGGAATGGAAGGCACACAGAAAAGTGTAAGTGCTTTATCGAGAAGTGTGCCGACTGTACCGGGACTGGAGGTTACCACAAGCATACATGCAAGGTGAAACCAAAAGTTGAAGTCAAGTGACAAACATACCGGGTCTTGTCACTAAGACAAAAGGACGCACCTCAAGACGAGCGTGTAATCCTTGACGTACGAGTTAACGGACATGAAATAAAAGCGTTGTTAGATCCGGGCTCGCAAATTTCATGTATATCCTCTAGATTCTGTAATATGACAGACGTAACTCGTAAGTCAGAGCCAACTATGTTGAAACTGGCTGATGAAAGAGAGATAACTTGCAGAGAAATGGCAATCGATAAAACCACAGTAACTAAGGCAGTCAAATGTAACACTTCACCAGACTATGATCTCATAGTAGGTATGGGTGATTTATTGTCATTAGGTATCACAATTACAGGCTTACCTACTAACATTGAACCACAGAAGGATCGGTCGGACGACAATTTGTTGAAACCGGTATATAAACCTTCGAAGACTGCGAAGGAGATGATCCCTCACTTTACAGAGAAACTCAAGGACTTGATTTTCGAGAATGAAAAGATTCGGATCACGGACTGGGCTAAGTTCGAATTCAATAACGGATACGTTATTCTAGACCTGACGAGAGTAGATTTCTCGAAGCTGAAGTGTCCTACACGTAACTATGTTGCATGGCGTCATGAGCAGATCGTACGAGAACAGGTTAAAGCATGGTTAGATGACGGGGTGATCGCAGTCAACTATGAGCCGACTCCCGTCAACCTAGCGCTTTTAGCCGTCGACCAATTCAACTCTGACGGGACACTGAAGAAAGTTCGGGTGTGTTTGGATATGAGCCCAGTTAACGCTTTGATACCGACACACAATTTTCACTTACCAAGGATAAACGAACTACTCAGGCGCGTGGAGGGAGCTAAGATATTCTCCACTATCGACCTGAAGCAGGGCTACCACCAGATGAGGATCTACAAACCACATTGGAAGTATTTCACCTTTACCTGAGAGAGTCAGCAATATTCGTTCAAAGGTGCCCTCTTTGGGTTATACATGTTACCTGCGTTCTTTCAACAAATTATGCAAGACTTGTTTAGCGACATGAACAATGTACAAGTATACATTGATGACATTGTGGTATTCACCAAAACCAAAGAGGAGCACGACAAGGTTGTGCGAGAGGTTCTAGACAGACTCAACAAGCACAACTTTAAGGTCAATAGTAAGAAATGTCACTTCGGTGTTAACGAGATTCAGCTGTTGGGTTACCGAGTATCCGGGGATGGAATCATGATCGATCCCGGGAAGGTCGAATACTTGCTAGACTGGAAAACTCCTACCACGGGTAAGGCTGTCAACAGCATGTGCGGATTCGTCAACTTTTTGTCTGACGGAGTACCACATCTGGCAATTTATTTAAAGCCCTTTTGTCATAAAGGCAAACTAGGCGCACTGTGGACCGAAGACTGTGATGACGCATTTAAGCAGCTCAAAACAGTGGTTCAACAAGCACCAGTAGTCCAGCCACCAAAGGATGGTATTCCATTCATGGTAGCAACAGACGCATCCGACATGGCACTCGGCGGCGTTCTGTATCAAATGATTGATGGGAAACCCAAGATATGTACAGCTCTTTAGTAGAGCTATGAATTCGTCTTAGATCAATTACCCAACCGTGCAACAAGAGCTTTTTGCTATTGTTACTGCACTCACTCATTTTAAGGACTATCTATATGGCACACACTTTAACGTGCTATGTGATCAGAAGTCATTGCAACACCTAAAGGACATGAAACCTAACTCACAGTTAGTCAGTCGGTGGCATGACACGATCGCAAAATTTTCGTTCGGCATAACACACATACCGGGTAATCACAATCACTTCCCCGACATGTTGTCTCGCTTCGTACCAGATTTTAACAAGATGGTTAGTGAGTTACTAGCTACGGATTGGATGGTCAATCCTAGGTGGTTTAAGATCGCAGACAACATCCATGGACCACATACCATAGATATGTTTGCTGCTCATCATAATGCACAACTGCCAAGGTACCGGACACTAGAACATCCGAAAGGAGATGGATTCCAGATTGACTTGTCTAACGAGAATGCCTGGGCAAATCCTCCATGGTTATTAATACCACAGTTGCTAAATTATGTACATATTCAAGATGTTACCATCACGTTGTGTTGTCCCCTAAGACACTCAGAAAATGGCTACCACAGTTGATCTCAATGATACAATGTGAGTCGATCTATGTGGATAGAAAGGTAGATACTTTTCTCTACCAGGGTACCCATGCAGTCCAAAAGACGCCTTGGCGACATACTATTATATGTCGAATAGGTCCAGTTGGCACAACCAAGTGGACACCATCCGAGACTTTCAAACAGAAGGTTGAGGAATCCAAGATTCCACTCTTGAATCCTAAGTCTCAATCAGAGACCCAAAATATTTCTTTATAATATTACATCAAATTCACTATCACTCTCCTGTGCTTCCTCGTCATCACTCTGCTGTTGTAGTTTGTACACGTGGGGATTGTCTTTTTTCATCTACCAATCGGTGATAAGACAGTCGAGATTAATAAAACCACGATCTACTTGAGCCCCGTGGTCTGTAATGTATATTCGAGATAAAATTTTGTTGAGACTACTAAACTCCATGTAGTTCCGCAACTCCTTAATATTGCGCTCAATTGTAATTTGCTTGCGAGCAATATCCCTATCGACTTGACTTCTCTCAATACTGAATGCGAATTGACCAGCTTGTTTCTTCCTAGGCGTGCACACGCAGATCCTTAGTTTTTCAAGTTTGTATCTATCCGTAAAGCCTTTGTCATTGGTATACACCATGAAAGTTGATCCATTGCCTGAGATTAGCTTAGGTCCGTATGATTCATTATTTGTATCCTATTATCGGTCGAAGAACTCACATAAAACTTACTATCGCCCCCCCCCCCCCCCCCCCCCCAGCCGCCTTTTTATTGATATCGAGTTTTCTTTCAGCCGTCAATAACGGACCCGCAAAAGTATGCTCTATTTTTTGAAACAAATTACATTTAAGATTCTTCGGGGGCCTCTTTAGGGCCTACAAATGGGAGGAGGGAGGGGAGCGTTCCGGACAGACTTTAAGTTCAATAAGAGAAATAGGGACTCTACAGCTACGTTTTCGGTGATAAATATCACAAACCTTTGCCAGGTATTCAGCTTTGATTTGTTCTTACTCCTGATCTCTATTGCAGTTTCCTCGGATTCCTCATTGTCTTCCTCAAGGGCACCAGCATCCAGAACTCCCTCAGACACAAATTTCTCTCTCATTTTTTGGTTCCCCATAGTGAGGCTATCTAGTCTGCCATTGTGGTTCAGCCACCCAAATAATACCATTAGCACAGCATAGCTCGGTTCTCCAGTTTGCTCCTTGCAAAAAAAGGCTTTTTCAGCCGTTCCCTCCATTTAGCACCTCGTACTGGTTCTGTATGCACTGGAGTGACATCAACTTTTTTTTTGTATAGTCGACATATTGCTAATGTTACGTATTACTGGGGTGATATCAGCAAGTTGCTGGATGTTAGTTGTACACCTTGAGCGCTTAGTTGATCTTTCAGTGCTTTACGCAGCTGTGCACACATACGTCTTTCTTCTGGACAAGAACGCTGCATACTGTTATTGCTATTAAAGGCACTAGTACTATTTGCATCTTCTTTGTACGGTTTAAAGCGTGGCAACAGATTTGGTAGCAAACGTGCTCGCTGTAAAGTACTAGCGTTGAACTGTTCTGGTTTGAAGAACACGATATGTAATGCGTTGTTTCTTCGCACACTTGTACTGTACGCTCTTTCTGTACTTAGAACGGAGTCGTATGTCCTTCACTATTATGTTAATAACTTGCAATGTGTCTGCTTCATTTTACGGTATGTATATCTCGTCTATTCTACTCACATCCTCACCACAAACCACTTCATCGTTTGTGCATATACACTTCTTTAATACTATAGCATCCCATACGGGTACAATGTGTAGCTGTGTATCTAGGTTGCACTTTAACTCTTTGTGTGGTTTAGCTGGTATAGGATATAGGTCAGGGTGAAGAGTCGCGCCGTGACCTTCACTAAAGTGCTTGGCATTAACAAATGAATTGTTAGTCTTCCCTGGAGCGCCTCGCTTTGCCATTTCATACAATATATCCTCCTCACTCATGTGTGGCTGCAGTATAAACAACCACTCGCGTGAATGTGCATCAGCGATGGCATGACTTTCTAATTGATCCTTATCTTTTGCTGGCCACTACGCCTATGTCTAGTCAAATCACTACTGTTACACTCAATGCACCTATATTTACAGTCAGAATCTGGTATGATGATGCCGTTGCAAAAAAAAAAGGTGCGGTATGATAGTCCCCCCCCAGCTCTGGACTCTGGACTCTGGAGTTCTGGACATGGGCAGTAGTAATCACATCAAAATACAATACTAAAACCTACTGAGTCTCCCTGAGGCTCAGTGCGGTGGATTTATTCTTATATTTGATTGTCTACGTGGTCTACCAATAATTCACCTCGTGTGAATTAATTGTAAACTAATTCTAACTCCACACTTATAGTGGTTTAAGGGGACTTTTACTACAGGCAGAGGTCTTCGGCAACTGCGCGAAATCTATGAAAAACATGGTCAAATAACCCCCGAGCACGCTTGGGCTGCTGGAGGAGGCCGAACTCTTGCGTGCCGTGCGGAGCGCGAAGCTGGCAAGCGTGACACGAGCGCTTTACCACCCTAACCAGAGATCGTAGTCTGTTCCAGCCATAGAGGGTGTAGAGCTTACCAACCAGCTTATCGGTGCCAGAATGCATATACACCTTGTGCATAGCCGCAATGACATCGTGGACGTCCGGCCACGACAAGACAAACCCGCGAATCCTATACGGAGAGGGGCCTTCCATAGTGCGTTTGACCGCTACTTCCACTTCTTGCTTGGACTTGGGCACTTCACGTTGCTCAGCTGCGAGGACCTGTTCCTGCCGGACACGGGCTCGACGAGCACGCCGCTCAGACATTCGACGCTTGGGTACTGTAGCTTGGGCAGCCTCACGCTCCAGCGACGTTAGCTCTACCGGGGTAGGCTGAGAAGCCATGGTACGTGGGCTGGTTCGTAAAACCGAACGAGCCGCCCCGCCAGCCACACCACCAGGGACAAACGTGTCACACTGACGCCAGAAATCCCTTGGAACCTAGAATTTCGCGCCCTTGGCGGAGAGTCGGCACAACAACGTTGGGCCCCATCGAGGGGGTGGCATTTCTTCATGGCCATAACGGAAAAAGACACCTTTCTCTGGGGGAAAGATGATAGGCTCCCGCGACAATAACGACAGCATTGGTTGGAACCAAGGAGCATTAAGGAGGTATGGGCACATTAGGGTTATGTCCGCCTCGTCTGCAATCACCTTGGCTAAGACACGCGGGATGGTAGCCCACGGACAATTGACCCACAAGCTCAGGAACGTCCGTAATTGGGAGAAAGCCCCACCCTCCAAAGAAGGGGAAAATTACTTCGGCAAGTGATTGTTGCCAGGAAGAGCGAACCCGTCGTGAGTGTGCGGACCCCATGCCTTATCCACAATATTAAAATGCTTCTTGTTGGCCATGTACTCAATACTATGAGGAGGGCCTCAGCGCGCCACAGGATAACGCCACGTCACCTGACGCCTGGGACTGGCCGTCTGGGTTCCAACAGGATCCATCCATGGATTCACCTTGGTCGTAAGCCGACTGAGCATGTCGGCCGCGCCATTATCTTTGCCACGAACATGCAAGAGGTACACATCGCGATCTCGGCATACCTCCTAAACTGATAGTGGTTTAAGGGGATTTTTACTACACTCCCCTCAAGCTCAAGCGTCACCAGTGATTGAAGAGCTTCAAAAACAAATGACCTTTTAAGCTATTGAAAATTAAACAAATAAAACTAGTAGTGTAAATTAAACAAAATATATATATATAAACTGGTGAAAATCCTTCTGCTGAGTAAGTTCGTGCCTTGGAAACTGGTCTTTTGAACCATCCCGGTTGTGCTGGTATATTTTCACCCCCCCCCATAAGCTAGGGTATCCGCTGGAGTTATACTCGCCTATAAGCTCGAGTTGTGGAATCGTCGTTCGTCTCTACACCGTGGTGAAATATCACGAGGAGAGACAAACTCCGATCCGGAAGTAGATGATAGACAACTAGTATTCATCAACGTAACGTTGGAATTATTGTTGTTGTGCCGCTTTCTTCTTCTGGCGAGTTTGCTCGGCTTTGTGGCATGCAGCGATATCATTCGGATCGTCAAAAGCTTCGGTTGACTCCCAAGTTGGATCACCTTCCCGCTAGCGAACCAAGTATTCTGTATTTCCTGTGTAATCTTTCTGTCTATGTCGAATGATGTAACGGAACGAGGAACTATCCTGCCACATATGATCTTCTAAAGGGTTTTCGGTGGCTCTATGGACTAATCGCAAAAGTTCCACTCTAACTGGTTTACCTTTGAAAGTATCTGGAAGTGAACCATCCTTGTGTGTAAGTTCATATCCTTGTCCCTGTCTGGCTTTGACAACGTATGGTCCAAACATTGGTCGCATTGCTTTGGTTGTGCGACCTTCGGACCGTACCATTACCACATCCCCTGGTTGAAAGGCGATAAAATCGTAAACATGGAGGAGGTCAAACTGCCTGGATAGTATATCTGCGTATTTCTGCGTGATCTTGTAAAGCGTCGGCAAGATAGTGTCGTGCAAACGATCCAGCCGGTGTGCCCAAGCCTCATTGGTGACCGGCTGATTCCCCGGAAGGTCATCCGTGAAGTCAGCAAACGGAACATGACGGCGACCGAAGTAAGCACTGAATGGTGCTGTCTTGTGTCGCCGAGATATTCGGAGGTTCTGGCACAGCATAATAAGTGGTAGTCGGACATCCCATGCCGTAGGTAAAGATTCACATAGCTTGCGAACTCCTTCGTATATGTATCTGTGTCTTCTCTCCGATGCTCCCAGAACCTGAGGACGATATGATGGCGACTTCACATGCATCACTCCAACTTCTTGAGTTATTAGTTTAACAATATTGTTCGAAAACTCGCCTCCCTCGTCTGATTGGATTTTCCTGGGAAAACCATGTTCCCCAAACACCTCCATAAGTTTCGATGCCACCACTTCTGCTGACTTTGTGGCCGTTGCTCTTAATATCGAGCACCCCGTTGCTATATCCAAGACGTGCAATATATATCGATTTCCTGCTCTGAAACTTGCACAAACACTTAGGAGAAACTGCTTCCAGCCTTCCCCAGGCACCAGAGGCCACAGCCTTCCATCCTGAATTCCTGACTGTTAAACTGTTAATTATAAGAGCTTAGAATAAGTACTTTATTGTGGTGCCTGCTCAAGGCATTTATACTAAGAAATATTTCTGTCATGACTAATTCATGAACAGGATAAAAAAACCCATATTTAGGAAAAACCCATTTACATTTTATGTTGTAGTTTATGTTGTTCAATACAAGCTCCGTATGGTTTTACTACGCTTATATTGGACCTTCATTGGTGACCCGGTAATACTCCCCCCTAATTTTTTAAAGTTGTACCTGCTTCAACTTGGTTGTACAAGTTTTGTTCTCTTGGAAACTCATCTCAAATCTGTGATATGGAATATCTGAGATAAACTTGGAAAATTGTACAATGTTTAGGTTTTATAAAAATATATAAACGTCATCTGACATTTTATCAATTTGAGAAATTGAGTATTTGAAATGTACTCTGAGTCAGAAAAAATAAATAGAGCATTTTTGGAGTTAATTTTAGAGTTTCAGGATTAGAGTGTAGACTTTAGAGTTAGATTTATACTCTTGTTGTTGAAAAGTGGAGTTTGAATAAATTTCAAATTTGTAAGAAGTGAGACACTGTGACAGACTGACAGTTACAGTCACAGACCTTGATATTAGACAATGTTAGTGTGACGGTGAGTGTGATTCAAATAGTAAAACGTAAACACGTTTTCAAATTAAAGCTTATACGTATAACATACCAATTTGTTTGCAAAATTTAGGTATGGGTTGAGGCTTAAAGCCTGAGGTCAAATTTCTGATATTTTCCAAATGACAATTAAACCCTAAACCCTAAACGTTAAAAGGTTACAAATGAACTTGAAATACTGATTCAGACTAGATGGCTGGTATGCTATCCACGGATATTCGGGAATTTATACTGGGGCATTTAAAAAAAAATGCTAGGCAAGATTTAGAACTTTTGCTGAAGTGAGGTGCGTTCGGCACTGAGGGATGATCCTAAGTCGAATCTGATTCTGTACATGAAAGTAATACAATTATTGTGGCAGCTGTGCCAGTCGTCCTGGTGTCCCTCAACAGAAGACATCCCGAACAATCGACATAATACTTGGTGGTCTGTTATGCACGCTTGTATTGTGTCGGTTGTACAACCCATGTTGTACTCTAACACTGGTACCTGTTGCTCTAGACCGTTGTCTGAGATTCTAGACTGCAGCCTACTATCTCATTGGCTGACAAATGAGCCTTCGGTCAAATACTATGCATTTCTGGCGATATTTCTCACATATTCCATAGTATTTTATAAGTGGCATGACCAAAACAGTTGGAAAATACCATCGAATATTGCAACTTTGTGCAACTTTTGCGCGTGTTTCAAGAATCTACAAGTTTTGATTGGTAGAGAACTAATGTATTTCTGGAAAATTTCACAAACGGTTGTACAGAATCTAAAGTGAAAATCGGTAAAAAAAGCAAATAATGAACACAGCACGCAAATATATACAAAGTACGTCGCAGTTTGTTTGTGATTCACAAGCACTCGTAGGTCAGCGACTAGGTGATACGATGGCTCCCTCGCATAGCAACCTCAAACGATATACAAAAACTACAAGGATTTGCTGCAATACTGGCAACCAGACCATGATTGGGACGGGTATGAGAATCTGATGAATATTTTGCATGAAATCACAATACAGATATTACCGCAGGATATATTCAAATATTTCTGTCTACTTGCATATGGTAGAGAGAATCCTGGCCATGATGATCATCCTACTCTACGTAGGGAGTCAGGGCTAAGCTTTCTAAAGAAGTCTATCACATACTCTATGCCGCGCATCGCTATTGATTGGGATCCAGTTGATATGATGGGGAATCCTACGAAATCAAAGGATGTGAATGACTTATTGAAAACCATTGAGAGGGCTGAGCTTAGGGCTGAGGGCAAGGATGACGCTGCTAAACGTCCTATAGAGTACGATGAATTTCGTCAAATTCTTGCTATCAATTTAGAGAAAAGGAATTATCATAATGGTGGTCTGCATGCTCTTTGGACTTTGACATTTCCGCTTATATGTCGAGTGGATGATGTGACAAATATAAAATTTGAGGATTTGACGCTCAATGACGACAATCCGGAGCAGCTTATTGTGACTTTAGTTCGCAGTAAGAATCTCAGATAGAAGGGTCAGGTAGCCACACCAGTCATACTTGGCTCTATGGATTCTTACTTTTGCGCTCTTAGTGCACTGGCCGTTCACCTTGTAGAACGCATGCTAGAGAGAACTAACACGCATCAGTTGGATTTGGGATATATGTGCACTCTGAATGGTACTGTGGGTTGGGATGACAAGTTGAAACCAGATGTGGCTAGGAGAGCGATTGCTAAAATTGTACGGCTAGACAATTTTGTGGCTAAAGGCGAAGTCGACGAAATCGGCACGCATAGTCTCAGAAAGTGCTCGTGCACATATGCTCAGAGACGTGGACGCTTAAAAAATTGATGCAGAAGGTAGAGGCAGATGGGCCAGGACCAGAACAAAGGGTCAGAGAAAGAAGAAGTCAAATAGTCAGGTCGATAGATACTCCAGCTCTTTGATGCTGTATCCTGATGCTAAAGTATCTGAGGCCTTATGTGGACCCCGAGGTGCTTGCAACTATAGGATCAACTCAGGTAAGCTTTTGATTAGTGTTGTGAATAAACTATGTATAACTATATATGGTACACTTATTCGTAAATATGTGTATACTGAAATTACAAATATTTACTATCGTTATTCTTATACTGCAGACTTCAATCTTAACGATGAGGACTTAAGGTTAATTATACCAGGTGTGTGGGACCTACCTGGCTTTCATATCTAGCACAAAAAAATATTTTCTATTGTTGCACTGTATCTCGGTATAACTGAGTCCCATTTAGTACCAGTAGAGTACCACAAATACTGCGACGATGTGGTAAGACATTTGTTTCCGAATATAAGTGATGAGAATAAGAGGTTGGTAATTTTGAGACGACCTGCAATGTGCAGGAGATGATGGCTTCAGAGTCTAAGAAGTTGAAGGTGCTGACCAGAACTTAAATAATGTTAATACTAACTATCTCAACCTGCACGATATGCAGAACCAAATGATAGCTTTAGGCGCAGATATTACCCACTTGAAGCGTATGATCGAGGATATGGAATGAAAATCGATCAACATCACAATGTGTTCAAGAACAATCACAGAAAGCTAAGGCAAGATATTATGGGCGAATTTAATAGACTACGACTTACAGTACAAGCCCGTACGAATTTCCAGCATAACAGTAATGCCGCAGGAAACGCTCGCCCAGCAAACGCCCAGAATGAAGCAGGTAGCAACATTCAGCACAATGACATACATGAGCCCCACGGTTCTCACGAAGCCTGTCTTAACAAAGGAATCAGAACTCTGTGGCAAGTATGGCAGGAGTATGACGCGGGACTTTATGGGAGCAAACCTGCCAGCTTCTTTACTGATAGTGAGCGAGGTAGAGTGAAGTGCACTTATAGTTTGCGCCTTTGTTTTTGGAGGACTATGGAGAAGCTGACCGCCAGAGGTAATAGCGCTCAAAAAGCTATAGAGAAAATTCAGGATGCGTATGGTACAGCTTTATCGGTCACAGCGATATGCAGAGCTTGTCGCACTGATAAAGATATGGCAGAGATTCAATAAAATCGGTCTGATTTATATATATATATATATATATATATATATATATATATATATATATGTATTAGCCGTGCCTCCACATTAGACTCTATGTTATAAACGTACTCTTAAGCAGTACATAAATTCTAAACGTACTCTTAATAGTACGAGGAACTTAAGTTTCCTAAATGGTTTTTAATGGTTTTATTAAATAATAAGTATGCTCATATGCTCGATGCGTTAAATTATGTATAATTTTAACTCTACTTTCGAGCTCCTCTAAGTCAGTCAGATTCTGCGTAACGCTGGCTGAATGAACCATAGTCCTGTTGGAAAGGGCAACCTCAGTATCAGGAGGGGTAGACTCCTGAGATACATAATTGACAACATTGGATTGTTGAAGTATCTTCTTCAGTTGTTTCGCAACTCCTGGCTGTTCTTTAAGCAGCGCTATAAGTAGTTGAGTGCGAGCTTCAGGTTCTCTTAGAGTTTTGAGTCTTTGATCCATGGCCTTAGCTAGTTCCATGTTTTTACGATCTAATGCCGTTTCAATCGGCATTACCTCGACTGCAATCTTGTTGGGTGCATGTGTTGTACGAGTCTTGAGCTTTTGTTCAAACTCTTTAGACTCCTCTAGTTTAGCTAAGAATTCGGTTGAGGGTTTCCACTTAGTGGTACCTACAGGACCGATGCGACAAACAATGGTGTGTTTCCAAGGTGTCTTCTTACTAGAATAGGATCCCTGATACAAGAACGTGTCGGTTTCACGGTCGACATAAATAGGTTC